CAGCGGCAGCAGAAGGCAAGAGCGCAGCAGCAGCGGCAGCAGAAGGCAAGAGCGCAGCAGCAGAAGGCAAGAGCGCAGCAGCAGCGGCAGCAGAAGGCAAGAGCGCAGCAGCAGCGGCAGCAGAAGGCAAGAGCGCAGCAGCAGCGGCAGCAGAAGGCAAGAGCGCAGCAGCAGCGGCAGCAGAAGGCAAGAGCGCAGCTGCAGCGGCAGCAGAAGGCAAGAGCGCAGCAGCAGCGGCAGCAGAAGGCAAGAGCGCAGCAGCAGCGGCAGCAGAAGGCAAGAGCGAAGCAGCAGCGCCAGCAGAAGGCAAGAGTGCAGCAGCAGCGGCAGCAGAAGGCAAAAGCGCAGCAGCTGCGGCAGCAGAAGGCAAGAGCGCAGGAGCAGCGGCAGCAGAAGGCAACAGCGAAGCAGCAGCGGCAGCAGAAGGCAAGAGCGCACCAGCTGCGGCAGCAGAAGGCAACAGCGCAGCAGCAGCGGCAGCAGAAGGCAAGAGCGCAGCTGCAGCGGCAGCAGAAGCCAAGAGCGCAGCAGCGGCAGCAGAAGGCAAGAGCGCAGCAGCAGCAGCAGCAGCAGCAGAAGGCAAGAGCGCAGCAGCAGCGGCAGCAGAAGGCAAGAGCGCAGCAGCAGCGACAGCAGAAGGCAAGAGCGCAGCAGCAGCGGCAGCAGAAGGCAAGAGCGCAGCAGCAGCAGCAGCGGCAGCAGAAGGCAAGAGCGCAGCAGCAGCGGCAGCTGAAGACAAGAGCGCAGCAGCAGCGGCAGCAGAAGGCAAGAGCGCAGCAGCAGCGGCAGCAGAAGGCAAGAGCGCAGCAGCAGCGGCAGCAGAAGGCAAGAGCGCAGCACCAGCGGCAGCAGAAGGCAAGAGCGCAGCAGCAGCGGCAGCAGAAGGCAAGAGCGCAGCAGCAGCGGCAGCAGAAGGCAAGAGCGCAGCAGCTGCGGCAGCAGAAGGCAAGAGCGCAGCAGCAGCGGCAGCAGAAGGCAAGAGCGCAGCAGCAGCGGCAGCAGAAGGCAGGAGCGCAGCAGCAGCGGCAGCAGCAGAAGGCAAGAGCGCAGCAGCAGCGGCAGCAGAAGGCAAGAGCGCAGCAGCAGCGGCAGCAGAAGGCAAGAGCGCAGCAGCAGCGGCAGCAGAAGGCAAGAGCGCAGCAGCAGCGGCAGCAGAAGGCAAGAGCGCAGCAGCAGCGGCAGCAGAAGGCAAGAGCGCAGCAGAAGCGGCATCAGAAGGCAAGAGCGCAGCAGCAGCGGCAGCAGAAGGCGAGAGCGCAGCAGCAGCGGCAGCAGAAGGCAAGAGCGCAGCAGCAGCGGCAGCAGAAGGCAAGAGCGCAGCAGCAGCGGCAGCACAAGGCAAGAGCGCAGCAGCAGCGACAGCAGATGGCAAGAGCGCAGCAGCAGCGGCAGCAGAATGCAGGAGCGCAGCAGCAGCGGCAGCAGAACGCAAGAGCGCAGCAGCAGCGGCAGCAGAAGGCAAGAGCGCAGCAGCAGCGGCAGCAGAAGGCAAGAGCGCAGCAGCAGCGGCAGCAGAAGGCAAGAGCGCAGCAGCAGCGGCAGCAGAAGGCAAGAGCGCAGCAGCAGCGGCAGCAGAAGGCAAGAGCGCCGCAGCAGCGGCAGCAGAAGGCAAGAGCGCAGCAGCAGCGGCAGCAGAAGGCAAGAGCGCAGCAGCAGCGGCAGCAGAAGGCAAGAGCGCAGCAGCAGCGGCAGCAGAAGGCAAGAGCGCAGCAGCAGCGGCAGCAGAAGGCAAGAGCGCAGCAGCAGCAGCAGCAGCAGCAGAATGCAAGAGCGCGGCAGCAAGGGCAGCAGAAGGCAAGAGCGCAGCAGCAGCGGCAGCAGAAGGCAAGAGCGCAGCAGCTGCGGCAGCAGAAGGCAAGAGCGCAGCAGCAGCGGCAGCAGAAGGCAAGAGTGCAGCAGCAGCGGCAGCAGAAGGCAAAAGCGCAGCAGCTGCGGCAGCAGAAGGCAAGAGCGCAGCAGCAGCGGCAGCAGAAGGCAACAGCGCAGCAGCAGCGGCAGCAGAAGGCAAGAGCGCAGCAGCTGCGGCAGCAGAAGGCAAGAGCGCAGCAGCAGCGGCAGCAGAAGGCAAGAGCGCAGCAGCAGCGGCAGCAGAAGGCAAGAGCGCAGCAGCAGCGGCAGCAGAAGGCAAGAGCGCAGCAGCAGCAGTAGCAGCAGCTGCAGGAGCAGCAGAAGGCAAGAGCGCAGCAGCAGAGGCAGCAGAAGGCAAGAGCGCAGCAGCAGCGGCAGCAGAAGGCAAGAGCGCAGCAGCAGCGCCATCAGAAGGCAAGAGCGCAGCAGCAGCGCCAGCAGAACACAAGAGCGCAGCGGCAGCGGCAGGAGCGCAACAGCAGCGGCAGCAAATTGCAAGACCGGCAGCGGCAGCAGAAGGCAAGAGCGCAGCAGCAGCGGCAGCAGAAGGCAAGAGTGCAGCAGCAGCGGCAGCAGAAGGCAAGAGCGTAGCAGCAGCGGCAGCAGAAGGCAAGAGCGCAGCAGCAGCGGCAGCAGCAGCAGCGGCAGCAGAAGGCAAGAGCGCAGCAGCAGCGGCAGCAAAAAGCACGAGCGCAGCAGTAGCGGCAGCAGAAGGCAAGAGCGCAGCAGCAGCGGCAGGAGCAAAAGGCAAGAGCGCAGCAGCAGCGGCAGCAGCGGCAGCAGAAGGCAAGTGCGCAGCAGCAGCGGCAGCAGAAAGCACGAGCGCAGCAGCAGCGGCAGCAGAAGGCAAGAGCGCAGCAGCAGGGGCAGCAGCAGAAGGCAAGAGTGCAGTAGCGGCAGCCGAAGGCAAAAATGCAGCAGCAGCGGCAGTAGAAGGCAAGAGCGCAGCAGCAGCGGCAGCAGAAGGCAAGAGCGCAGCAGCAGCGGCAGCAGAAGGCAAGAGCGCAGCAGCAGCGGCAGCAGAAGGCAAGAGCGCAGCAGCAGCGGCAGCAGAAGGCAAGAGCGCAGCAGCAGCGGCAGCAGAAGGCAAGAGCGCAGCACCAGCGGCAGCAGAAGGCAAGAGCGCAGCAGCAGCGGCAGCAGAAGGCGAGAGGGCAGGAGCAGCGGCAGCAGAATGCGAGAGCGCAGCAGGAGCGGCGCCAGAAGGCAAGAGCGCAGCAGCAGCGGCAGCAGAATGCAAGAGCGCAGCAGCAACGGCAGCAGAAGGCAAGAGCGCAGCAGCAGCGGCAGCAGAAGGCAAGAGCGCAGCAGCAGAAGGCAAGAGCGCAGCAGCAGCGGCAGCAGAAGGCAAGAGCGCAGCAGCAGCGGCAGCAGAAGGCAAGAGCGCAGCAGCAGCGGCAGCAGAAGGCAAGAGCGCAGCAGCAGCGGCAGCAGAAGGCAAGAGCGCAGCAGCAGCGGCAGCAGAAGGCAAGAGCGCAGCAGCAGCGGCAGCAGAAGGCAAGGGCGCAGCAGCTGCGGCAGCAGAAGGCAAGAGCGCAGCAGCAGCGACAGCAGAAGGCAAGAGCGCAGCAGCAGCTGCAGCAGAAGGCAGGAGCGCAGCAGCAGCAGAAGGCAAGAGCGCAGCAGCGGCAGCAGAAGGCAAGAGCGCAGCAGCAGCGGCAGCAGAAGGCAAGAGCGCAGCAGCACCGGCAGCAGAAGGCAGGAGCGCAGCAGCAGCGGCAGCAGAATGGAAGAGCGCAGCAGCAGCGGCAGCAGAAGGCAAGAGCGCAGCAGCAGCGGCAGCAGAAGGCAAGAGCCTTCTGCTGCCGCTGCTGCTGCTGTGCTCTTGCCTTCTGCTGCCGCTGCTGCTGCGCTCTTGCCTTCTGCTGCCCTTGCTGCCGCGCTCTTGCATTCTGCTGCTGCTGCTGCTGTTGCGCTCTTGCCTTCCGCTGCCGCTGCTGCTGCGCTCTTTCCTTCTGCTGCCGCTGCTGCTGCGCTCTTGCCTTCTGCTGCCGCTGCTGCTGCGCTTTTGCCTTCTTCTGCCGCTGCTGCTGCGCTCTTGCCTTCTGCTGCCGCTGCTGCTGCGCTCTTGCCTTCTGCTGCCGCTGCTGCTGCGCTCTTGCCCTCTGCTGCCGCTGCTGAAGGCAAGAGCGCAGCAGCAGCGGCAGCAGAAGGCAAGAGCGCAGCAGCAGCGGCAGCAGAAGGCAAGAGCGCAGCAGCAGCGGGAGCAGAAGGCAAGAGCGCAGCAGCAGCGGCAGCAGAAGGCAAGAGCGCAGCAGCAGCAGCAGCAGAAGGCAAGAGCGCAGCAGCAGCGGCAGCAGAAGGCAAGAGCGCAGCAGCAGCGGCAGAAGAAGGCAAAAGCGCAGCAGCAGCGGCAGCAGAAGGCAAGAGCGCAGCAGCAGCGGCAGCAGAAGGAAAGAGCGCAGCAGCAGCGGCAGCAGAAGGCAAGAGCGCAGCAGCAGCAGCAGCAGCAGAATGCAAGAGCGCGGCAGCAAGGGAAGCAGAAGGCAAGAGCGCAGCAGCAACGGCAGCAGAAGGCAAGAGCACAGCAGCAGCAGCGGCAGCAGAAGGCAAGAGCGCAGCAGCAGCAGCAGCTTCAGCAGAATGCAAGAGCGCAGCAGCAGCGGCAGCAGAAGGCAAGAGAGCGCAGCAGCAGCAGCAGCGGCAGCAGAATGCAAGAGCGCAGCAGCAGCAGCGGCAGCAGAAGGCAAGAGCGCAGCAGCAGCAGCAGCGGCAGCAAAAGGCAAGAGCGCAGCAGCAGCGGCAGCAGAAGGCAAGAGCGCAGCAGCAGCGGTAGCAGAAGGCAAGAGCGCAGCAGCAGCGGCAGCAGAAGGCAAGAGCGCAGCAGCAGCGGCAGCAGAATGCAAAGCGCAGCAGCTTCAGCAGAAGGCAAGAGCGCAGCAGCAGCGGCAGCAGAAGGCAAGAGCGCAGCAGCAGCGGCAGCAGAAGGCAAGAGCGCAGCAGCAGCGGCAGCAGAAGGCAAGAGCGCAGCAGCAGCGGCAGCAGAAGGCAAGAGCGCAGCAGCAGCGGCAGCAGAAGGCAAGAGCGCAGCAGAGCGGCAGCAGAAGACAAGAGTGCAGCAGCAGCGGCAGCAGAAGGCAAGAGGGCAGCAGCATCGGCAGCAGAATGCAAGAGCGCAGCAGCAGCGGCAGCAGAAGGCAAGAGCGCAGCGGCAGCGGCAGCAGAAGGCAAGACCGCAGCAGCAGCAGCAGCGGCAGCAGAATGCAAGAGCGCAGCAGCAGCAGCAGCAGAAGGCAAGAGCGCAGCAGCAGCAGCAGCGGCAGCAGAAGGCAAGAGCGCAGCAGCAGCGGCAGCAGAAGGCAAGAGCGCAGCAGCAGCGGCAGCAGAAGGCAAGAGCGCAGCAGCAGCGGCAGCAGAAGGCAAGAGCACAGCAGCAGCAGCGGCAGCAGAAGGCAAGAGCGCAGCAGCAGCAGCAGCTTCAGCAGAATGCAAGAGCGCAGCAGCAGCGGCAGCAGAAGGCAAGAGCGCAGCAGCAGCAGCAGCGGCAGCAGAATGCAAGAGCGCAGCAGCAGCGGCAGCAGAAGGCAAGAGCGCAGCAGCAGCAGCAGCGGCAGCAAAAGGCAAGAGCGCAGCAGCAGCGGCAGCAGAAGGCAAGAGCGCAGCAGCAGCGGTAGCAGAAGGCAAGAGCGCAGCAGCAGCGGCAGCAGAAGGCAAGAGCGCAGCAGCAGCGGCAGGAGAATGCAAGAGCGCAGCAGCTTCAGCAGAAGGCAAGAGCGCAGCAGCAGCGGCAGCAGAAGGCAAGAGCGCAGCAGCAGCGGCAGCAGAAGGCAAGAGCGCTGCAGCAGTGGCAGCAGAAGGCAAGAGCGCAGCAGCAGCGGCAGCAGAAGGCAAGAGCGCAGCAGCAGCGGCAGAAGAAGGCAAAAGCGCAGCAGCAGCGGCAGCAGAAGGCAAGAGCGCAGCAGCAGCGGCAGCAGAAGGCAAGAGCGCAACAGCAGCGGCAGCAGAAGGCAAGAGCGCAGCAGCAGCGGCAGCAGCGGCAGCAGAAGGCAAGAGCGCAGCAGCAGCAGCAGCAGCAGCAGAATGCAAGAGCGCGGCAGCAGCGGGCAAGAGCGCAGCAGCAGCGGCAGCAGAAGGCAAGAGCGCAGCAGCAGCAGCGGCAGCAGAAGGCAAGAGCGCAGCAGCAGCAGCAGCTTCAGCAGAATGCAAGAGCGCAGCAGCAGTGGCAGCAGAAGGCAAGAGGTCCGCAGCAGCGGCAGCAGAAGGCAAGAGCGCAGCAGCAGCGGCAGCAGAAGGCAAGAGAGCAGCGGCAGAAGAAGGCAAGAGCGCAGCAGCAGCAGAAGGCAAGAGCGCAGCAGGCAGCAGAAGGCAAGAGCGCAGCAGCAGCGGAAGCAGAAGTCAAGAGCGCAGCAGCAGCGGCAGCAGAAGGCAAGAGCGCAGCAGCAGCGGCAGCAGAAGGCAAGAGCGCAGCAGCAGCGGCTGCAGAAGGCAAGAGCGCAGCAGCGGCGGCAGAAGAAGGCAAGAGCGCAGCAGCAGCGGCAGCAGAAGGCAAGAGCGCAGCAGCAGCGGCAGCAGAAGGCAAGAGCGCAGCAGCAGCGGCAGCAGAAGGCAAGAGCGCAGCAGCAGCGGCAGGAGAAGGCAAGAGTGCAGCAGCAGCGGCAGCAGAAGGCAAGAGCACAGCAGCAGCGGCAGCAGAAGGCAAGAGCGCAGCAGCAGCGGCAGCAGAAGGCAAGAGCGCAGCAGCACAGCAGCAGAAGACAAGAACGCAGCAGCAGGCAAGAGCGCACCAGCAGCGGCAGCAGAAGACAAGAGCGCAGCAACAGCAACAGCAGAAGGCAAGAGCGCAGTAGCAGCAGCGGCAGCAGAAGGCAAAAGCGCAGCAGCGGCAGCAGCGGCAGCAGAAGGCAAGAGCGCAGCAGCAGCGGCAGCAGAAGGCAAGAGCGCAGCAGCAGCGGCAGCAGAAGGCAAGAGCGCAGCAGCAGTGGCAGCAGAAGGCAAGAGCGCAGCAGCAGCGGCAGCAGTAGGCAAGAGCGCAGCAGCAGCGGCAGCAGAAGGCAAGAGCTAAGCAGCAGCGGCAGCAGTAAGAAAGAGCGCAGAGTAGCGCAGAGTAGCAGCAGCGTCAGCAGAAGGCAAAAGCGCAGCAGCGGCAGCAGAAGGCAAGAGCGCAGCAGCAGCGGCAGCAGAAGGCAAGAGCGCAGCAGCAGCGGCAGCAGAAGGCAAGAGCGCAGCAGCGGCGGCTGCAGAAGGCAAGAGCGCAGCAGCGGCGGCAGAACAAGGCAAGAGCGCAGCAGCAGCGGCAGCGGAAGGCAAGAGGGCAGCGGCAGCAGAAGGCAAGAGCGCAGCAGCAGCGGCAGCAGAAGGCAAGAGCGCTGCAGCAGCGGCAGCAGAACGCAAGAGCGCAGCAGCAGCGGCAGCAGAAGGCAAGAGCGCAGCAGCAGCGGCAGCAGAAGGCAAGAGCGCAGCAGCAGCGGCAGCAGAAGGCAAGAGCGCAGCAGCACAGCAGCAGAAGACAAGAACGCAGCAGCAGGCAAGAGCGCAGCAGCAGCGGCAGCAGAAGGCAAGAGCGCAGCAACAGCGGCAGCAGAAGGCAAGAGCGCAGTAGCACCAGCGGCAGCAGAAGGCAAAAGCGCAGCAGCAGCGGCAGCAGAAGGCAAGAGCGCAGCAGCAGCGGCAGCAGAAGGCAACAGCGCAGCAGCAGTGGCAGCAGAAGGCAAGAGCGCAGCAGCAGCGGCAGCAGTAGGCAAGAGCGCAGCAGCAGCAGCAGCAGAAGGCAAGAGCGCAGCAGCAGCGGCAGCAGTAGGAAAAAGCGCAGCAGCAGCGGCAGCAGAAGGCAAGAGCGCAGCAGCAGAAGGCAAGAGCGCAGCAGCAGAAGGCAAGAGCGCAGCAGCAGCAGCTGCAGAAGGCAAGAGCGCAGCAGCAAGCAAGAGCGCAGCAGCAGCGGCAGCAGAAGGCAAGAGCGCAGCAGCAGCGGCAGCAGAAGGCAAGAGCGCAGCAGCAGCGGCAGCAGAAGGCAAGAGCGCAGCAGCAGCAGCGGCTGCAGAAGGCAAGAGCGCAGCAGCGGCGGCAGAAGAAGGCAAGAGCGCAGCAGCAGCGGCAGCAGAAGGCAAGAGCGCAGCAGCAGCGGCAGCAGAAGGCAAGAGCGCAGCAGCAGCGGCAGCAGAAGGCAAGAGCGCAGCAGCAGCGGCAGCAGAAGGCAAGAGTGCAGCAGCAGCGGCAGCAGAAGGCAAGAGCACAGCAGCAGCGGCAGCAGAAGGCAAGAGCGCAGCAGCAGCGGCAGCAGAAGGCAAGAGCGCAGCAGCACAGCAGCAGAAGACAAGAACGCAGCAGCAGGCAAGAGCGCACCAGCAGCGGCAGCAGAAGACAAGAGCGCAGCAACAGCAACAGCAGAAGGCAAGAGCGCAGTAGCAGCAGCGGCAGCAGAAGGCAAAAGCGCAGCAGCGGCAGCAGCGGCAGCAGAAGGCAAGAGCGCAGCAGCAGCGGCAGCAGAAGGCAAGAGCGCAGCAGCAGCGGCAGCAGAAGGCAAGAGCGCAGCAGCAGTGGCAGCAGAAGGCAAGAGCGCAGCAGCAGCGGCAGCAGTAGGCAAGAGCGCAGCAGCAGCGGCAGCAGAAGGCAAGAGCTAAGCAGCAGCGGCAGCAGTAAGAAAGAGCGCAGAGTAGCGCAGAGTAGCAGCAGCGTCAGCAGAAGGCAAAAGCGCAGCAGCGGCAGCAGAAGGCAAGAGCGCAGCAGCAGCGGCAGCAGAAGGCAAGAGCGCAGCAGCAGCGGCAGCAGAAGGCAAGAGCGCAGCAGCGGCGGCTGCAGAAGGCAAGAGCGCAGCAGCGGCGGCAGAACAAGGCAAGAGCGCAGCAGCAGCGGCAGCGGAAGGCAAGAGGGCAGCGGCAGCAGAAGGCAAGAGCGCAGCAGCAGCGGCAGCAGAAGGCAAGAGCGCTGCAGCAGCGGCAGCAGAACGCAAGAGCGCAGCAGCAGCGGCAGCAGAAGGCAAGAGCGCAGCAGCAGCGGCAGCAGAAGGCAAGAGCGCAGCAGCAGCGGCAGCAGAAGGCAAGAGCGCAGCAGCACAGCAGCAGAAGACAAGAACGCAGCAGCAGGCAAGAGCGCAGCAGCAGCGGCAGCAGAAGGCAAGAGCGCAGCAACAGCGGCAGCAGAAGGCAAGAGCGCAGTAGCACCAGCGGCAGCAGAAGGCAAAAGCGCAGCAGCAGCGGCAGCAGAAGGCAAGAGCGCAGCAGCAGCGGCAGCAGAAGGCAACAGCGCAGCAGCAGTGGCAGCAGAAGGCAAGAGCGCAGCAGCAGCGGCAGCAGTAGGCAAGAGCGCAGCAGCAGCAGCAGCAGAAGGCAAGAGCGCAGCAGCAGCGGCAGCAGTAGGAAAAAGCGCAGCAGCAGCGGCAGCAGAAGGCAAGAGCGCAGCAGCAGAAGGCAAGAGCGCAGCAGCAGAAGGCAAGAGCGCAGCAGCAGCAGCTGCAGAAGGCAAGAGCGCAGCAGCAAGCAAGAGCGCAGCAGCAGCGGCAGCAGAAGGCAAGAGCGCAGCAGCAGCGGCAGCAGAAGGCAAGAGCGCAGCAGCAGCGGCAGCAGAAGGCAAGAGCGCAGCAGCAGCAGCGGCTGCAGAAGGCAAGAGCGCAGCAGCAGCGGCAGCAGAAGGCAAGAGGGCAGCAGCAGCGGGAGCAGAAGGTAAGAGCGCAGACGCAGCAGCAGCAGCAGAAGGCAAGAGCGCAGCGGCAGAAGAAGGCAAGAGCGCTGCAGCAGCGGCAGAAGGCAAGAGCGCAGCAGCAGCGGCAGCAGAAGGCAAGAGCGCAGCAGCAGCGGCAGCAGAAGGCAAGAGCGCAGCAGCCGCGGCAGCAGAAGAAGTCAAGAGCGCAGCAGCAGCGGCAGCAGAAGGCAAGAGAGTAGCAGCAGCGGCAGCAGAAGGCAAGAGCGCAGCAGCGGCGGCAGCAGAATTCAAGAGCGCAGCAGCAGCGGCAGCAGAAGGCAAGAGCGCAGCAGCAGCGGCAGCAGAAGGCAAGAGCGCAGCAGCAGAGGCAGCAGAAGGCAAGAGCGCAGCAGCAGCGGCAGCAGAAGGCAAGAGCGCAGCAGCAGCGCCAGCAGAAGGCAAGAGCGCAGCAGCAGCGGCAGCAGAAGGCAAGAGCGCAGCAGCAGCGGCAGCAGATGGCAAGAGCGCAGCAGCCGCGGCAGCAGAAAAAGGCAAGAGCGCAGCAGCAGCAGCAGCAGAAGGCAAGAGCGCAGCAGCAGCGGAAGCAGAAGGCAAGAGCGCAGCAGCAGCGGCAGCAGAAGGCAAGAGCGCAGCAGCAGCGGCAGCAGAAGGCAAAAGGGCAGCGGAAGCAGAAGGCAAGAGCGCAGCAGCAGCGGCAGAGCGCAGCAGCAGCAGAAGGCAAGAGCGCAGCAGCAGCAGCAGCAGAAGGCAAGAGCGCAGCAGCAGCGGAAGCAGAAGGCAAGAGCGCAGCAGCCGCGGCAGCAGCAGAAGGCAAGAGTGCAGCAGCAGCGGCAGCAGAAGGCAAGAGGGCAGCAGCAGCGGCAGCAGGAGGCAAGAGCGCAGCAGCAGCGGCAGCAGAATGCAAGAGCGCAGCAGCAGCGGCAACAGTAGGCAAGAGCGCAGCAGCAGCGGCAGCAGAAGGCAAGAGCCAAGCAGCAGCGGCAGCAGTAGGCAAGAGCGCAGCAGCAGC